TTTGCTCGTTCTCATAAGATAGAAGTACCTTTTCTTTCTTGGAATGGATTGCCAAGGATAATTTCCTTTCTCTTTTCTGAATGGATCGCATAGGATAATTACATGGAAGAGGCCTTGAAAATGAGGAATTTGTTGCAAGAATTCCTCAAAAAGCATGATGGTGTAAGGTATCCGTCGATACTTGGTCTCAGAGAGCACATATTTACTGGAAGGTAACCTGGCAGCCTGTTTTTCTAGGTTACAGCTATTTCTTTTTTACATAAGTTAATATTCTACAGTTTGGTGCAGTGTTTCTTCCCTTGCATGGTTCATGTCAAATCAGGAGACCAGTTTTGTCACTATTGGTCAGAGACTGTTAGCCAACCCTCTCAAGTAAGTTGTTGTTGCTTTAAATCTTTTTCGGAATTATTATACTTTTATATTTGTTCAGTGGGATGGATGTTGGGATTTTAATCTCTTGTTGAAAGATCACTACCCATGAATTCTTAGATATGCTGGTTCGTTTGTATTCATGATCAATTTACCCTGCCCCCTTTCTAAAAGATAGCTATGAGCTATTGTAATTAGTTTTTTAATTCGGATATTGAACAAGGTGTTTGATCCCAGGTTTATATATATATATATATATATATATATATATATATATATATTCATGTCCACATTGTAAGCCTGTTTTTCACGTCATTAGTGTTGAGCCTACAGTGATTTTGTTCAATGGTATTATCGAAATTTGATAAAGTTTAGGAGTGAGTGTTGAGCCTACTAAAATGAGAAGTGTTAAATGGTAATATCAATCATTGATCAAGTTTGGGTGTTTGTTGTTAGGGTCTTTTCACTTATTAGTTGGTTCTGGGATTGATGATAACAATAACCATGGGCATAATCCTTCTAATAGATGTTTCTTAGGGTATTTAAATATAAACATCTTTGGGGTCTTTTTTATATTCTGTATGTTAACAATGCTATATCACTTATGTATGTGTTTCCTGTTTTTATAGGGTTCGATTCCATTATGGTCATCCGGATGTATTTGATAGGCTCTTTCACCTCACAAGAGGAGGTGTCAGTAAAGCATCCAGAATAATTAATTTGAGTGAAGATATTTTTGCTGGTAGGGCCTTGATTTTTTGTAAGTGTTTTATTTTTTTGCCCGTCTTCAGTTTCTAACTCCTGTAATTTGATTGTGATTACAGGCTTCAATTCTACACTTCGTGAAGGCAATGTCACCCATCATGAATACATACAAGTTGGGAAGGGAAGGGATGTGGGTCTAAATCAGATATCTATGTTTGAGGCAAAAATAGCTAATGGCAATGGCGAGCAGACATTAAGTCGAGATATATACCGGCTTGGGCATCGTTTTGACTTTTTCAGAATGCTGTCATGTTATTTCACTACAGTCGGTTTTTATTTTAGTACGCTGGTATTTCTTTTAACTTGTCCCTTCTAATTGTGGCTTTAAGACGACAGACTTTAACAGTAATAATAACAATAATAGTAATAAGATGTCTTGTGTGTTTGGCAGGTAACGGTGCTCACTGTGTATGTGTTCCTCTATGGGCGCCTCTATCTTGTACTAAGTGGCCTTGAACAAGAATTGAGTCAGGAACCAGCAATTCGTGATAATAAGCCTCTCCAAGTGGCTCTTGCTTCTCAGTCTTTTGTTCAAATTGGATTTTTGATGGCATTACCCATGTTGATGGAAATTGGTTTGGAAAAGGGTTTCCGAACTGCATTGAGTGAATTTGTATTAATGCAACTGCAACTGGCTCCGGTATTTTTCACATTTTCTCTTGGAACAAAAACCCACTATTATGGAAGGACATTGCTTCATGGAGGTGCTAAGTACAGGGCTACAGGCCGAGGGTTTGTGGTGTTTCATGCCAAGTTTGCTGATAACTACCGGCTTTATTCACGCAGCCATTTTGTTAAGGGTATTGAGATGATGTTCTTGCTTATAGTGTACCAAATCTTTGGTCATACTTACAGAAGTACAGTTGCTTATATATTGATCACTGCTTCCTTGTGGTTTATGGTGGGCACATGGCTTTTTGCTCCCTTCCTGTTCAATCCTTCTGGCTTTGAGTGGCAAAAGATTGTTGATGATTGGACTGATTGGAATAAGTGGATAAACAACAGAGGTGGTATAGGTGTACCTTCCGAAAAAAGTTGGGAATCATGGTGGGAGGAGGAGCAAGAGCATCTTCAATATTCTGGGAAGCGTGGTATTATTGCTGAGATATTGTTAACTTTACGATTCTTTATCTACCAGTATGGGCTTGTCTATCATTTGCACGTTACTAGGGACAACAAAAACTTTTTGGTATGTTCCTCTCTATTTCTATGTCCATTTCCACCCTAATTTTCATCATTTACACAGTCATTTTCATCCACTTGTCACAGATATATGGTGCATCATGGTTGGTGATTGTTCTGATATTGTTTGTAATGAAGGTAAGTGGCAACCATTTTATTTTTCCTGTTAATGTACTTCTCAGATCAGCCAGGTTTAAATCAAGTCGGACCTGTTTTGGTAAGCAGAGTCGGAATTGTCTGGTGGTTTACTTGACCATGGTCAACTTCTGATAATGGTACCGTTTAAAAAAAAGTAATCCAATGTTATAAGATATGGTTTATGATTATTAGTTATTTTCAGCAATCAAGGAAGTGATGTAATCAGTGAAACCTTAATGATTTTTATGCTTTCAATGGTTCCGTAAAAATATTGACGGTCATGAGGATCTTATGATCTCTAATTTGGAGGTTGAACTGTACCATATCTCTTATGATTTTTCTTTTTTGGTTTAGACTGTATCCGTTGGAAGGCGAAAGTTCAGTGCAAGTTATCAACTTGTTTTCCGGCTCATCAAGGGATTAATATTCTTGACATTTGTGTCCATTCTGGTTATTTTGATCACACTTGCAAGGATGACAGTTCAAGACATTATAGTCTGCATTTTTTTTATCTTCATGCCTACGGGATGGGGAATGCTTCTGGTAAGCATGTTTCTGCCTTAAAGTTCTACAATCACATGGTATTAGTTATCTTACATAGTTTTTCTTTACCTCTCAAATGCACAATTTATATTGTAAAGATCAAAAAATGATCTTATAACTTTCATGCACAACAAAATTTGCCCTGTGAATTCGAATGCTTACGAATTTTTTAAAATCACTTTCATAATGGATGTTATTGCTGTTTTCATATGTATCAGATTGCTCAGGCTTTAAGGCCTGTTGTTAAGAAAGCTAATTTCTGGGGATCAGTTAGAACACTTGCTCGTGGATACGAGATTGTAATGGGCTTGCTTCTTTTCACTCCCATCGCATTCCTCGCCTGGTTTCCTTTTGTCTCGGAGTTCCAGACTCGAATGCTTTTCAACCAAGCATTCAGCAGAGGTCTGCAGATTTCTCGTATTCTTGGTGGGCACCGTAAAGATCGAGCTTCACGTCACAAGGAGTAATCATGCTATAAGCAGCTGGAGTTGTAATTATACTGATGCTATTGATCCTCGCTTGTATTCAATGTTGAAAATATTGCTAATTATGGTATGGATGGAAGAGGGGACGTGGCAATTTTGGCGTTTGGAGTGGCATTGTATGGGTGCAGTTGTTGGAAATTAGAATGGATGTTTATTTGGTGATGACTTACTTCTTCAGGCCAGAGTTGTCGTTTGCCATGCATTTACCTATGTGGGAGATAAATGAACGGATGTATGATTTTGTGTTAGGGGTAGGAAATTATGGATTTAATATTAAAAGTTTTAAGAGCTATGAAATTATAAAATTGGAGGATGTGAAATTAGTTTATTAATAAAAAATATAAAAATGTGAAAGTTCCTGTATTCTTAGTAGTCTCTTACAAAATCAATCACTTGAGCAGCCGTAAAATGTAGTACCCTGAGTTACTGGAAATGAAACTGGAAGCTCAGGGCACTAACTTTGATTGATTTTGTATTACCCTATGCGATATTCCTCGTCGATCCCTTATACCAACATTCTTCGTAGATCCCTTATCGCAGCATTCAGGTCTTACAACCACGGGATTAGGTCACACCCTTCTTGAATTATTGGATTGATTTTGAGAATAAATTTTTGACAAACAACTGGAAGCAGAGGCCAACGAACGTCAGGAGGCTATGAGAGCAGGGGATGGAGAGAAAGAAAATTGATGGAAAAGATGGTATCCAAATGGTGTGTGGTTTGTAGAAGAAGTACAGTGAATGAAGGCGTTGCGATGGTGACATTTAGCAAACCTATAGGCTGGAGTTTGAGAGAATCGTCGAATAAATGGCGATGTTGTTGTAGTATCGCAAGGGCAAAACTGTGGAATTTAGGATGGATAAAAAGTGAAAAAGAGATCGAACAACGAAGAAAGGATGAACGATGACATTAAAATGACAGGAGCTATGAAAAAAGTGGGGATGATCGGTATATATGAAAATGAATTAAAAAAGAAGACATTTCCTAAACTTCGACAGTTTTAAAAGTAGGCCATAAAATTATTATTAAATTATTAACAAATTATTTTAAATAAAAATAATAATAAAATTAAAATGATTTTTAAATATTAAATCATTTTTAAAATCATTTTAAATTAAAATTAATTTTATAGATTGTGTAAGTTTCAGGACTAAAATTTGTATTATACCAATTTCACATCACCAATCAATGGCTAAATATAATTATAATTGACCAAAATAGAAATATTACGTAATATGCCTTTTAGTTAAACTAAAATAATTATAAGATAATATATATTCTAAAGATTTTATACCATTTTGACAATGTATGTTTATACTATTTATAAACGTTGATGTTTTAACTTGAACCTTTAGAGCAATAATTATATATTAAATTACTGAGGTAATTTAGTGTGTGCAATGAAACGTAAACGGTAACTTATTGTCCAAACTATTGCAAATTGAGTGATCGTTGGTTGGAGAGCAACAAAGTCAAACGGTAAACGTTGTCGTATTTACCGGTGATGCTTCTTTCTTCTACTTTCTCTGTAGAAAGCATATCACTGGAATCTCTTTCTCGGAGCGAGAAGACTTTGTTAGGGTTTTGGGAACGCGTGACGATCGGAATTTGACGGTGTGGCTAAAGAGTAATCAAGGCTGAAAGAGAGGAGGCGGATGGTGTAAACCGCAATACTAACATCAGTAAATGGAAAGCTTTGAATCTGAAGAACCAGAGAAGAAGAGGCCTCACTTGGATTCTCACGCCATGGCCCGTAATTCCTCCACTTCTCCCAACCATGTCAAATCTGTAATCTCTCTTCCTCAAAAATTTTTAATTATAAAAGATTTATTTCCTGCTCAAATTAATGGGCGTGCATGATTTTGTTGGTTCTTTTCTTACTTTCATGGGATTTTACTTTCGACAGCTTATGGCTTAAATTTTTGCCTGCTATTGTTATTTTGCTTAGATTCTCATTGAAACTTTTGATTTCAAATGCTCTCTCTGCCATCGAGAAAGTATTGGAATAGAAGGGGAATTGAAGTTGTTTTGGACCAATTTTGAATTTGTGATTTAGTTGAATTGATAATGGTTGATAGAAGTAGTTTGTTGTGAAACTCGGTTCCCCTGCCTCTGTGGGTTTTTACTATGGGAAGAAGAAAGAAAAACATGATTCTCCCTCTTAGTGACGTAGCCATAATCAGTATGGCATTGATATGCTTTTGTTTGTTTAGACTTGCAGATATAGAACTGCATACCAAACTCTTTTTTTCCAAACTTTTTCACTGAAGTTGTCTGCTAGCAGGGATGGACTGGAAATTTCAAATGATCATATATTTTAGATATTTTCTTTGAATTTTCTATTGATAATCTGTTTTTGCCCCCCTAGAATTTTATAAGTTTGTCCCTCCCTAGAATTTTAAAGGTTAGCCCACTAGCATAAAATCTTGAGTCTGTCCCTGTCTGCTAGGGTTATGCAACTCCATTGTGATGAAATTGAGCTGATAATGTGGATAAATTATTTAGTTTGCACTAACATTGGGTTCAGAACATCAGTGCTCTATATGTGGACGGAAATATTGTAAATTAGAGAATGTGATGTTGTATTCATGGTTTTAATTATCAGAATTGCCTAATTGCATCATCTTAGAAGCCAAAAATGATTCCTCTAAATTTTAGTTATTTGGTGGCCTCTTTTCTGATTTAAACCATTCCTAGACTTGTCATGAATCGGTCATTAGGCATCTAATAATATGCCTGGACACCATTAATCCACTACCAATTTACGCATGCTGGGTTGAGAAGCTAAGCCCTTTGCATAACCTAATTCAATATTAGGCATACCTGTCAGTGAGTGGAGATAACTGTCTCCTGTCTACTGGTTGAATTTTCCTTTCACTTTTTATCCATGCTTGGTTTTTTCAGACTTTCATCTTGCTATTATCAGGGTATTTCTACGTACACCTCAATATGTAAAGCTGGTGAATGTGTCAAGTAAATTCAAAATTCAACATCAATTTTGATTTTGTTTTTTTTCCTGTATGTGTATGAATTTGTGTTTTTGATACTCTTACACATTAGACTTTAAATAGAGGGATTTTATTTTATCCAGGTTGACGCAGCAATTCTCCAGTATCAGAATCAAAAACTTGTCCAACAATTAGATATTCAGAAACATGAGTTGCATGATCTTGAAACCAAAAATAAAGAACTAAAAGACAAGCAAACCTCTTATGATGATATGCTGATAACTGTGAATCAACTTTGGAATCAGGTAACTATTTCATGACACTCTTTTACTGCTGTATCTTTTGCAATTATCATGATTTTTTTGTTACTCTGCTATATAGTTGGTTGATGATATGGTCCTGCTTGGAATACGAGCTGGAGGAGGCCATAATGTTTTAAAAATCTTGGACCATGCTGACAAGTCTCGAGGTTTGGATAACCTAAATTGTTGGTTAAACATGTTCTTTTGTTTTTGTTTTTGGGAGTTAGGAGATATATTCATGTCTTTTAATAATAAAAACATGTCAAATAAATTAACTTGAGCTCTCTTTAGGTTCTATACCAAAATGCCCTGTGGAGGAGATGTTTCTTTGTAGGCTTCTAGAAACAGATTTTATTGATAGTAGTGACGAAGATGGGATTGCCAATTATGTTGAACGAGTGTTATCTGCGCGCCATTCATCCACTAGGGACTTGATAAAATCTCTGGAGGATACCATCTCCGCCGAGAGGATGAAAACTGAGAGCATGACTTATTCTTTACATGGAAAATTTTCTGTTGAAGGTTAGATATTTCAGTTGCTTAGTAATTTTTCATTCCACATGGTTTTCGTGAATTTTTCAGTTTATTTTTCATTATATAGTACTTCTATCCACAGTTTTATATTGATTATTATTTCATATTTCTCGCAGACACTATAATGCAGCTTTCTAAGATTGATGATATGATGAAAGAAGAGGCTAAAATTTTGCATGAGATGATCAGTGCTCTACATTTGAAGCATAAAGAATATGCAGATGAGATTCAAACATATATGAGCAACCATTCAACTGACCAATCTGAAATTAAACGTCTTCAAGGTCTTTCCTAGTTCAACTTTTAGACGATATTTTATTTTATGCATTATTATTAGATATGGATGCCTGCAATAACTACCTAACATATATAAATGGAATACTCAACAGCAAATTTGGTGCCAACAGAATTACTGTATGCTGGCAACCTGACTAGTTGTCAGCCACTGCCTCGATTTTCTGCTCCTTCTGTTTTAGGTCTTCTCATGATTGTATGTTAAAGCTGTAAATAATTTATTAATTATTGATTCTAAAAGGTGAGTTAGAAGAAATTATGGCCAAACTTGAAGAAAGCAGAAGAAAACTAGTTGACCTAAAAATGCAGAAGAATATAGCATCTGGGATGCATGCATCAACTCCAGTTGTAGCAAATGGCAGCTTGTCACCAGAAAAACCTGCAGATAAGACAATTGGCTTGCGAGAGATAAAGGATTTGATTGAGGAGACAAAGGTATTGGTTTACGTAACTTTTTTTTTTATTTCTCTATCTTTAAGTGACTAATCTCGTAGAATATCTTACTAAACAAGTGTTGCAGATAGTGGCAGCAGATCGACTTTCTGAACTTCAAGATGCACAGGAACAGAACCTAATATATTCAAAGCAACTTAAGGATCTACAGGTTTGCTTGGATTTTTTACCTCTGAAAGTTGTTTTTCTTTTTAGTTAAACTTCCTTTTTGAATAGCACTACATGTTCAAGTAATTTAACTTGCAAAAAATTATTCTTTTAGAATGAACTGAAGGATGACAAATTCATAAAATCCTCTCGGCTCTACACTTTGTTAAATGATCAGCTTCAGCATTGGAATGTTGAAATGGAACAATACAAAGCACTGTCAGATGCTCTGCAGGTTAAGCTGCTTGATATACTTTTTCACATGCTTTGGTTGTTTGATTACTTTTTGGTCCGTCTTGAAAGTATAATTTCAGACTGACAGGTTACTTGTCATGAGGAGGGAGAAGGAACTAAATATGAAAGTTGAGTCGGCCGATTCTGTTAGGAATACAATTGATAATGCTGGTTCTAGAATTGAGGAGCTAAATCTGCAACTCCAGAACTGTATCATAGAAAGAAATGATCTTGAGATCAAAATGGAAGGAGCTATCCAAGATGCTGGTAAAATATTAAATCAGGATTGTACATTATAAAAATTTTAATTAAAGGTGGAAATTTTTGGACTTTTTGGTTTATTTAAATGCTACCTTTTCAGGAAGAAATGACATCAAAGCAGAAATTCGTGTGATGGCATCATCTCTGTCAAAGGAAATGGGAATGATGGAAGCTCAGTTGAATCGCTGGAAGGAGACTGCACACGAAGCTATTTCTCTTCATGAAGAAGCCCAAGCACTAAAAGCTTTGTTAAGTGATAAGGTTTTTATCTTATCCTTATAAGTTCTTCTCGGCGAATAAAAATTTGGAAGTTTCCAATACGGATGAAGTGTTCTTAAATGATCGAATAACTTGAGATAAACACAATGAGGTACTTTTGTACCAACTGGTGGAAGTGTGGAACTTGATTGTCCGATAGAATATCATTTTGGAAGTTCAGAATTGTGTGTTTCTGCACCACCATGTGGTTGCTGATTTTTATTCTTTCAATCTCATCTGCCACTTATCCAAAAAAAAAGTCACATTCCTGTTTTATTAGTGTTCCATTTTATTATTAAGCATGCAATTTGAAGAAGATTGTGGTCTTTCATAAAATGGATCCATATTTCTTTAATTTAATGTATAGAATAAAGAAAGATCTTTATAATATGAATTTTGAATGTTTTGGAACTTTTTAGTTGTTAATTGGCACAATTTTAAGCACATTGGTAGCTCAGATATGTTCAATCTCTAATCAATGTACTTTTTTTCTAAAAATTTCCAATAGACAAACCTACAAAAGTGCTTGGCAGAAGAGTGTGCTGAACAGATTGTGGAAATCAGATCTCTCAATGATTCTGTATGTCTATTCTTTTGATAATCCCAGTTCTTTTCCCCCTCTTTGTTCATTACAATATCGGGGAAAGGGGAAATGCGGGAGCTGGTGCTGGGGTTGGAATGCCTGCTTCCCTAGAAGTTCTAGCTACCTTTGGTTGTTGTGTGTAATTTTTTATTTTCTATGATGACTATTGAGATAAGATTTTCATTATTGAATAATATTCACTTATGCAGATTGAGAAATTGCAGAAGGAAAAATTGGAATTGCAAATCTTCTTGGATATGTATGGTCAAGGAGGCTGTGATAATAGGTATTCTAATTTCAGAATTTATTGAGACACATATGGTAAGAAAGTGAAAATGCAATGAAGGAAATAAGAAAATAACTTCCTTAGTTCCATCTTCAAGCTGTAGATCTTTCTGTTAAATTTTCGTTGATTATCTTTCGTGAAGTTCTTTATTACATTGTGCATTGTTTGTAACTTCATGCTTGAAGTGAAAGTGTGAAACAAATCTATAATTGGTTCTCCCGAAATGCAGAAGCAAATGACTTGTGCTGAACTGCTATTAAACAAACCTAGAATTTTAATGTTGTAGAAGATGATGCTGTGAGTTATATTGCGGTTATAGATTATTATTATTTAAATATTAGTGTTTTACCTTATCACTAACTCTAGTAGCCTACTTTGTAGATAAAGATAATTTTAACTTATTTAGGAATCCTGATCATCACTTGTATAAAAACCTCTGTTGTACCTCTTTTATTATTAACGTGAATACAAGTTAATTTCCAGAAAACACTGTTTCGACAGATGCTGAAATAGTAAAATATTTTAAGGTACATGTTTTAATATTGTTTTTCTTGTTGGTGCATTAAAACTCGTAGTTCCTTGATTCTATACATGCAGTAGCAAGAAGCTGTACGTGATTCTGAATTTGAAATTCTGTTCTTCAGTTGTGTTCACTAGATTGAGCTGGGAATTGTGATATAGTTTGAGCTACAGTTTTATGCATTAACAATGATTATGATTTCTTCTCTACCATTTCATTCACATAACTATTTTTCAGTTTCATTGCTTTCTTCTCTTTCTGAATTTGGTTTCTTGACTTAAATTTCAGAGATGTGACTGAAATAAGAGAATCAAGAAATAAAGCTTATTCGCAAGCTGAAATCTTGAAAAATGCCTTGGATGAACATAGTCTAGAACTAAGAGTGAAAGCTGCTAATGAAGCCGAGGCTGCATGCCAAGAAAGGCTTTCTGTTGCTGAAGCTGAAATAGCTGACCTAAGATCTAAAGTGGATGCTTCTGAGAGGTTTGTACTTCTGTGGTTTTTGGTTTGCTTCTGAATGTTGTTTCGTTGATGTTATTGGTTTGCAATAATAGTGATTCGACTGAAAAGAGGTTGGTGGAGGATGCACATATGCCGATTGATAATTAAATTATATAGGATTTTTATTATATTTTAGGGTTTTAGTTGTAACTTTAAAGGATCTTTAGGATATTTTAGATTTTTTAGGTTATTTTAAAGCAATTAATGTTTACTTCGTTTTGAAGTATTAGGGTTTCAGGATTATATTGGTATTTCTTGTTTTATTAGGTTGTTGGGATTATGTTAAGAATGTGAAAACATCATGTGTCACAAGGTTATTGATGGGGAGGTCAAAGTCAATTGTCTTCCCTTTGTCTTAATTCTTGCGATAACCTATTGTGATGGACAGTTCAGCTTATCCAAGGGAGAAACTATACAACCGTTTGAGAGAGACCCATATGTCTTATGGGTTTTTTGATAAAAATATTGCTTAGGGGTTTATTATTCTATACATCCTTTAAAATAGGGACCAATCTTATTTCATACTAAATAGGAAACCTATTTGAGAAAAAGAAAAAAATGAACTGAAATAAAATCATAACCTAGACTTTCATATCATTCCTGGATTGGCGATTGCATGTTGGTAGTATCCTTGCCTTTCATATCATTCCACTTATGTAGTCCTTTTTTCCATATGCATGCCATATTGATTTTAACCAGGCAAAGATACCAATCATGCAGACAATGTGTATGAATAATGAACTTGAGCGGTTTTCATGCTAAATAAGGATTAATTGGACAAAACTAGTTTCAAGAGCTTACTTTAATAGCTTAATTGTCTACAGCCAAAGAATTAGGGATTTTCTAAGAAATTTGAAAAAGTATAAGGATTAGCCTTTGGTTTTCACCCTTTCCCTATTTCCCTATTCATCAGTTCTTCCAATTCTCTCTAGTTACTAGATTTCTTTGTATATTCTCTATTCTCCCTACTTGTCTTACTTTAGAAGTTATAAATAAATTGTGGTGAAGTAGTTGTATATTTTTGTTTATTTTTTTAGTTCATTACGAAAGGAGAATGTTGTGGTTGCCTCTTCTGCAATACCTTATACTGTACAATGGTTTCTTAACAACTGCTAAAATTGTTTAATTTATTTATCTTATCCTCTTAATGTTAACAGACACATCTATTAATAAAATTAAACAGTAAACCAGTTGATACTTTCAAGAGGTAAAATGCTTATTATGAGTTACCAACCCCTGTATGTGGTATGATCCAAATTGTTTCTTCATCCTTAATGTAAAATTTCTGTGCTTGCATGAGGAAGTGTTGGGGTTTTTAGTTTATGGTTTATGTTTTTATGATTTGTTTCTTTCATTTCCCAAATCTATTTAGTATTATCTAACTATTTTATCCAACAATAAATCACAGGGATGTTTTGGAGCTCACGGAGGCTATTAAAAGTAAAGACGGAGAATCAGAAACATATATTTCTGAAATTGAGGTTTCTCTGAGATTCTTTTTTTTAAAGGAAAAATAAATATTTATTCATTTTTGGTTCCTGCCACCCTTCTCTCACATTTGTTGTATTGCTAGAGCTGCCTTTCCCTGGGTACTAGCTTTTCCATCTACTGCCTTTTCTTTGTCCGCATGTTGAGAGTTATCTTTTATCTTTTGCCAGACCATTGGCCAGGCATATGAAGATATGCAGGCTCAGAACCAGCACCTCTTGCAGCAGATGACTGAGAGAGATGACTACAATATTAAGGTCCATTGCATATTATGTGTCTTGTATTTCAACTGTATTCTTCCATTCTGTATATTGTTAATTAAGAAGTTTTGTTATCTGGTCTTGACGCTTGGGCAACTTTTGTAATTGTGATGGGATTAATTGCAGCTTGTCTCTGAGAGCGTAAAGACAAAGCAGACACATAGTTCCTTACTCTCTGAAAAGCAGACATTAACAAGGCAACTTAAGCAGGTCAATTCATCAATTGAATCCGTGAAAATGAGGATTGCACAAAGTGAGGAGCAGGTAAAATTCGTCAACCTACAGCATTTTTGTTTATCAACCTACAGCATTTTTCAGCCAACCTATAATTTAAACCTTGCAGATGAAAGTTTGTCTGACAGATGCTGTAAAATTCACACAAGAGGATAGACATTTTATGATTAGCCTTGAAACTGCAAAGTGGGAGTTGGCAGATGCTGACAAGGAGTTCAAGTGGCTTAAATCTGCTGCAGCATCTTCTGAGAAGGACTATGAGCAGCTCCAGCGGAAGGTGGAAGAGTTCCAAATGAAGTTGGATAAGGAACAGTGAGTTCTCTTTTCTCTGTTTTGGTGATTTTCCCAGGCTTATATTTTCTTTTGTTGCCCGGTTGTATTGTATTTTGGTGGAATTAGAAGATAAAAGATTATATGTATGTTATCCAACTACAAAAAACATTGATCTGCTCCTATGCTACTCAGACTCAGTTGTGAGTTCTAGTTCTAGGCACAAGTGTCTACCACTGTTAATGTTTTCCATGTATTTGGAGGATTGTTAGAAGTTATATCCCACACAAGTCTCGGACACAGGTACCTTAACAAAAATTAATGAGTTTGAGCAACGTAGCTCTGCCGTTTATTGCCCTTTCACTATATAATGTGAACTGTAATTAGCTGCAAAGAAGGATGAGGGAGAGGCTGTCATAATGGTCAACAATTGCTACAATAACAATGCTTTAACCTATTCATCTTAGGCTTTCCCAAGATTGTAATTTTTGTCCCTTGGGACTTTGGATGTGTTTCCTTGCAGAATACATACCTTTTTCTTTTCTTCTTCTAAATAAATTATTTAGCTCACCTTCAAATTAAATCTCTCCTCTGTTAAAATGGATTTTTTTCTCCAGAAGCCAGAGGAAGAAGCTTGAGGAAGAGCTCAATGAACTGAATAGCAAGATTGCTGAGTTGAGTTCAGAAACCGGAGAGACCACTATACAGAAGCTTCAGGACGAGATTAAGAATTGCAAGAACATTCTCAAATGTGGTGTATGTTTTGATCGGCCGAAGGAGGCGAGTGTTATGACAGCCTGTTGTCCTTTCATAATTCAAACTATTATGTTTGTTTCCTTGACCTCTATTATTAAATTTTGGATTCACTGATGTGTTGCTTTTCGTATTCCACAGGTTGTTATCGTGAAATGCTATCATCTATTTTGCAATCCATGTATACAGAGAAATTTAGAGATACGCCATCGCAAGTGCCCCGGATGTGGAACTGCTTTTGGTCAGAATGATGTTCGGTTTGTAAAGATATGAAAAGTATGTCCTGTCCCAAGGCTTTGTATATCGATTGTGATAAAGTCAGTCAGAGTTGGCATCTGGAAACCAAGGATGCCCCTTCGGGCCCGAACTTGATAGTTATAGATATAATATGTTTTTTTTCCTCTTTTTCATATGTAATAATTTGATCGGCATGGCACGTATATCAATTGTAAATGGAAACTAAACTAGGTGAAAGTCATTACATCATCAGGAAATTGTTCCTTTGGATCTCTGGACCTGTTGGTTGTCAACTTTCGTCCAAGTCATGTTTAATGTTAGAATGAAGGAACATGAGAAAGCAAGTAATAGAGATGATTTAGTAAAATCTCAAGGTTGAAACACCATATTAAGCATACTACTTAACAAACTATTTTCTTATGCACTAAAAATTATGAATGTGTAAGTAACGTTATGGTGTATATTTTAAGCAATTCTGGGGCACAAAATCAACTAAAGGGGCTTGCAACTGTTTAACCATTAGCAGTTTTAACAAGGAAAGTTTTCCAACCATTATTTAGCTGATTTTTTTACGAGTTGGCATATAGTCGTGAACAGTAGCAGCAGATAATTTGATTGTTTCTTGGTGAGTTCTGGTTCATTGATTTGCTTGTCGATGCAATTTCTTAAAATATATCGTCAATTATTCTCTTATGAATAAACCACCCTAAAACAAATCATGTAAGAGTTAATTTCTCAAAAACATTAGAAATTAGAGAAATTTAATAATAGGTAACAAACATATCCTTTTTGATAAATTTTTGAAACAATAATAAAATATTTAGAGCTATTAAATATTGTACCTATATTTTTCAAATATAATTTAACAACTTATGATGAGAAAAGCACAAAATAAAATCGAACTATAATTTTGAAATTGCCTATGCCTTTCGTCAACTCTCCGAGACCCTAAAAAATCACTGATAAAGAGAGGCACCAAGGCAAAGAAAGATTGAGAGAAACGAAATGTGATAGGAAAAATATTTCTTTATAATGAAGGGTAGAGATTGATTTACATCGTCAATTAAAATGAAAGTCAACCTTCCACAAATCATTTATATAATGAAACTGTATCAAATCTCTTATTACATTCCTTAAATATAAAATCACTTGGAATAATAGGTAAATTAATTTGAGAGAAGTTAACTTTGGACATTAATCGAAAGACATAATATTTAGTCTTTTATAGTTACTAAATAATTTTTTATAAATAAACTAGATGAGAATGATAACATAGTGAAAAATAAATTTACTTATTATTCAATGTTACACTCACGAAAAAGGAATATATTTTGATGAAATATATACTTTCTTAATTAAAATGAAAGTTAATTGAATATTACTTATTTTTGTATGTTATCATAATTTTAATTTTTATCAACTGAATATCAGAGGTGGCTATTTAAATGATTTTATAAATGAAGAAGTTTATGTTAAACAACCTCTTAGTTTGAAGATTCAGAATTTGTAAATCATATTTTTGAACTTTCAAAATCTAAAATGCCTTGAAACAAGCTCTTGAAATTTTGTATGAAAGACTATCAAATTTTCTAGTTGATTTTTTTTTTCTAACAACAAGTACATTATTTTTTATTAAAAGAAAAAAATAAAGACATATTTTTAGTACAAATTTATATTGATATTGTAACATCTTCAATACCAGGTTAGTGACCAAATTGTAAAATTTCAGGAATTGGTGATTAAAGTGGGATAATTGAATAGTTCAATGATTTATTGGAAATATGATGAAAGTTATTTAGTAATTATTGAATGAAGTAAAGGGTAAAATAGTCATTTGACATGGAAGATTTTTATTTTCCTTTATTAGATAAGGAAGCCACGTGAAAGAGAAAAGAAGGCAAAATAAACTTCCAGAGTTCTCTTCTTCTTCTTCAGTCGTGAGTTACTATGGCAAAGGTGAGTTTTGTGGTTAGTTGATTATTTGTTAAAATAAAAGTTGGTTTATGATTATTAGATGATAACTAAGCTTAAGGAAAGCTTAAGTTATCTTAAAATCAAAGTATGATGGAGTTAGGAGGGATTAAAGATTTGAGGTTCTTGGGTGAAATCTTGAAATAGAGTTCATAACTAGAGTTGGAAGTTAAATTTGACTTGTCAATGATCTAATTAAGAAGTTAGAAGCCATAGAATTGGAATTAAAACATATTGCAAAGTTGGTTTAATTCTTGAGTTACATATGAGGAAAATAATTTTGAAGCTAAAGATGGTTTATATGGATATAAATTGGTTTAAGCATGTGTATATGAGTTGAGAACATGAAAGGGGTTGAAAGATGAAGCATTTGAGTTGATTTGAGTAGATTTTCGGGCTTAAAAATGAATTCTGGGCTATGTGCATCGATGCACATTCGAGGTGCACCGATGCATCAAGGGTAAATTTCCAGAAATTGTTCAGAGTGTATCGATGCACAGGAAGTGCATCGATGCACCCATTAAAAATGGAAACATCGAATGCAATTAATGCATCGATGCATAAGGAGTGCATCGATGCACATGTTAAGGGATGCATCGGTGCATATGTTAAGGGATGCATCGATACACTGTAGAATGCATCGATGCACTTCAAGGGAAATATAATTATACCTTTCTTTTGGTCTAAGAAATGATAGATTAGTGTATATCAATTGGATACTAATATGTATCAATGTATGATTATATAGATATCGAGCACGAACAAGTCCCGGAGCGATTATCAAGTTATGATTCGATCGCAAGAGAGGAAATTATAAAAATGGATTGGAACTTAGTGAGGCCAAGGTGAGTGCATATTATTTTATATATGATGTTTAATGGGAAATAAGACTTGTGACAAGTCTAATTTCTGTAGTATTATGCATGAAGCATGAACATGAACATGTGTTTGTTATGAGTGTCTGAGTTATATGTTATGGTATGTGTTGACATGTTATTGTATATGTATTTCATGGTTGATGTGAATATATGCTATGTTATGATGATATGATAAGAAATTATATGAATATAAAAGAGAAGTTATGTGATAAGATCTTTGAGATATATAGAAATGGAATATAAGATTATGCGAATACATGATATGGGATAAATTAGGTAATAATATGGGAATATGGTAAAAAGCGAGTTTAGAAGAAATGATGAGAATAAAGTACTCAAGTGTAAAGGTTATATAAACAATAAGAATATGAGTTGGGTAAGTGAATAGTGGTATGAACATTTATGTGAAATAGTAAAATAGAATTATATCATTGAATGAGAATTGAAACAAGATAGATAATATTGACATATATGATGATTTGAGACTTGAACATAAGTGATAATAAGAACATATAAGATGAGTTAGATGGGAAAGATACATATGCTTAAATATAAAATTATGATATATGGGTTGTATGATGGAAATCTACGTAGTCATATTAGAAAGTTATAGGTACTATATGAATTGAATTAGGTAAATAGATTAGATTAGTATATAAATGAAATAATAGAAGTGACATATGTTTATGAGTGTGATAGATGTGATATGATCTAGGTGAATATCATAGAATGAGGTATAAGCTATATGATATGAGATAAGTTATTTTATACATATATGATATAAGCTATTAATCAGGACATATGAGATTATGAGAAGGAGAATATAAATGATGTGAATACAAGTATAGGAAAAATGATATATATATATATATATATATATATATGAAGATGAATTATATGAATACACATTTAGATGATGAAATGTTGGATTATATGAACATGTGAATATCTATATATATATAGGATAAGACATAAAAATAAGATATAAGCAATGTGACAAGAAATGTGAAATAGTATGAAAAGTGAATATGAGCTACATGATATGTGAAAGTGATTTACGTGTTTATACGTATATGTGATTCAACTCATGTGACATAATCTACGTGCTATGTGAAAGTGAACTACGTATTTATGTGAAAATATGAAATGACATATATGATGATGATGCCCATGTTATGTGTCATGAGAGCTAGGGTATAGTTGGCATGCCAAGAGTCGAGGGTGTATGCGGTTCTTCGGGACATATATGTATTCTTTGGAACACGTGCGAGGTCTTTTGAGACACATACTTGATCCTTGGCATATGTATATGATTCTTAAGGAATGACATGTGGTCCTTAGGAACAACCTTATATGGCACTTCGGTGCATTTCTACGTGGCCCTACGGTGCAATTCTACATGACACTTCGGTGCATTTATACGAGATGTGGTGACAAAATTAGTGCACAACCTCTATAGACTCATATATATATAGTTCTCACATGTGTACATGGGCTAATAAGAAAAACAACAAATATATTACATGTGATTTGTATGCTTTTGTGATATGAATGGTATTATATGATTTATATGATGATATGTGGATTGTATGATTAAATGAGGCAAAATGTTGGTTAAAATGCTAGGTATAAGAGGATATGTATTAAGTGATATAAACGATAATAATATTGATAATGAAATAAGGCTAATGATGGAAATGATGAGTGATGAATATATGTGTGTATATTTTTTATATGTAATGATATATATTGCATATGTTATAGGGATTTGTTACATGAATAAGGGTATGAGTGATAGTAGTAATTGTTCATGCATGATTACAAGCTATAGTTATATTTTATGTTTATTGCCTCACTAAGTCATCGACTTAGCGTGTGATTATTTCACATGTAGGTTACTGAAGTGAGAAGAGTAAAGAGCAATGTGGAGCAAGACATGTCAGTTCTCTTTACCAAAGGTCAGATCAGAAGAAAGGTGAATAATATGTATTTTAATACATAAAATTTTAGTTGGCATGTATTCAAAATAATATATTGTATAAGCTCTGAATAGTTCGATAAAGGTTTTGAATAAGTTATATGTAATAATAAATTTTAATTACTCACTATTTTATACAAGTAAAGGTTTTTGAAAAGTCAATATGACACTTCGGACTCGGATTCGGGTCGGATACGGGTTGGGGGTGTTACATTTAATGGTATCAGAGCTATGATTTAGACGATTCTCGGCATAAACTAAAGTCCAAAGTGTCATAAAATGTGTACATGCCAACTCAGAGTGAAAATTTCTGATCTGATAGGGTAAGGAGTATGTTGTCTTGCCACTAGAACAAGATTTGTATAATATAGTAAAAATTGATTATAGAAATTATCGAAGTGAATCGATAACTGACAAATCTGATGGTGATAACAATTCACCTGCC